GATCTACAAGGTATGCCTACGAAGGAAGTTCCAGATAACTTCTCCGACAAACGAAATCAGCTTCCCGAAAGAGTCCACGTACCGTATTTACTCGAATCTAGGCCGATAGTTTTTCCAAAAAAATTAAATCCGAAACTCGGGGGTCGGCCTAGATACGAGGATCCGGCTCCGCCATGACAGCGGGACGCCATCTTGTCTACATCGCTTCGGGAAGATACGCTGTGTACCACGGAACGCACGGAACGTTCGTCTCTACTCGACGCTATGGCATCGACCAGTCGATGCCACTACTCCGCGGCTTTTAAGAGGAAAGTTGTCTTGGCTGCTGAACACTCGTCCAACCTGCAAGCCCAGCGCGACTTCGGCGTGGACGAAAAAAATGTGCGTCGCTGGAGAAAGCAGCGTGGTCAGCTCTTTGCATGTGCGGCAACAAGAATGGCGTTCTCAGGACCGCGGAAGGGAAGGCACCACGAGCTGGATCGCGGCCGCATGGGACGACATCCCGGCGGAACTGATAGTAAAATCGTTCCGAAAGTGTTGCATCTCGAATGCCCTGGACGGTACGGATGACCACGCGTTGTGGGAAGTGGTCAGTGACAAAGATACGAGTGAGGATGACGAATGATCAGAAAAAATGCGGACATTAACCGTGAGCATGCCGTCGGATTAGTGACCGAAATAGTGCTGTACATTGCAGATAAATTCCGTTCTGTGTTTAATTTATGGTGTTTTTCCTATACTTTTTGGTCGGCCTAGAATCGAGAATTTTTTTTTTTTTTTTTCGGCCCTGCCGTTTTTGCGGGGTCGGCCTAGAATCGATGCCGGCTTAGAATCGAGTAAATACGGTATATCAACAGAAAATGAAGTCCTACTTTGATCATCAACGTGCTGTACGACCGCCACAGTTTCGTCTTGGGCAAACAGTTCGTGTATTCAAGCCCAATCATCATGATAAACTGCATAGTACATACTCTGAACCTCATTGGATACATACACAACTGGGACCTGCCACATATCGACTGGACGACGGTAGACGCTGGAATGCTATGAAGTTAACAAAGACATCTCGTCTGCCTCCTGTTCCTGTGGACCTTCCTGATCAGTCTTGGGATAGCGATGAAGATGAAAATAAAATGCATGTTCCCACTTATAGGCATATACATACACATCCTTTGGTCCACCATGCATCTACCCGTGCTCCTGAACATAATATCCAAGCATCTGTCGGTGGTTCTCCGCCACCTGAAGGGTACAGTGGGCAGCCAGTACTCCGCTCTCCTGGGGAACCAGATGCTGCGCTTCCCGAACCGGGTTTCCCTGTGGAGTCTGATCCGTCATTTACAGCTGCTGGCCTGGGTTCCTTGGGAAACCTCGGGCATGCTGTGCAACCTGAGCACTCTGCTGTGCCAGGGCCTAGTGGGCCTCCTCCTGCTGTGTCTCCTGGTCCTGCTGGTCCAGAACCTGGGTCCGCCGTGGATCCTTGCCTACCTGCTGTGGCCCAGGGTCATTCTATTCCTTCAAAGTCTGCTGGGGCACAGGCTTCCCAGCCGTCCGACGCAGTCTTCCATCCGCCGAGGGCGAGCACACCGCTCGGATCTCGGCCCAGCTCAACATTAAATACTGAACCGCAGTACCACACTCCGCCTACTCTTTCACCGCCACCACCGGTACCAGCCCGACCACCCCGCAAGAAGAGAGTTCCGGCAAAGTTCAAGGACTACATCATGGCGGTGTCAGTTAACAGTGGGCAGGTTGAGTCCAGTGATGTGCTTTAAATATTATTTTGATTATCATGCATAGTTTTGAACAGTCTCATTGTCATAGGAAAACCTTGGCCAAGGTGCAACAACAGATGTCCATGGCAAACACTGAATACAAACTACACTGCATGCTTATCACACTACTAACCTACTAACCACACTCACAAAGGTGCCCTGGACATTTGATTTGTTGTAACATGTATCATCATATTGAAATATCTTAAAATAGTCATTTACCTACAAGTACAAATTTATTTTTCATGGAAGGGGGAAGTCGGAGTTACTACATTTACGTGAAATATTTTGAGAAAGCTGTGCTCTTAAAGACAATCGTGTGAACAATTTTTCTTTTCTGTGGCGTGTGACTTTTGTGTACTGCAGGTATTAAGACTTTCTGCCAGTGTTAAGACTTTGCGCAGTGTCAGGTATCACTATATTTTTTTTGCACAGTACTTCTGGACGTTTCCGTGAAATGCGATAATGATACTTGCTCGATTTTTTTTAGTGCATTCTTTTTTAATATTTAAGTGTCCTAACGTAATTCTCCCCTCCCGGGTTTTCTTTTTCTGTTAAGAGAGGGAGAATGTTGTATTCTTTGAATTAAAAAAAGATGGTGCTACCGGTCTCACGCCGACCGTGCAATAAACACGAGCGAACGGCACGCGCCTTGCGCGGGGCGGAAAAAGAACAGATGCTCGCTGACCCTTGACTTGGCTGGTCTGCTTCCCTACGCCTCCGGGCGTCTGCTTCAATCATTGGACAGCAACCACCTTTTCTTACCATGTAGTTTTGGTCCCCTTTTCAACTTAGAATATTACACTAACACTGAAGTACGACGAGCAGGAATCTTCTTGAACATTTGGACATTGTGTGTGCCACGGAGGTATGCGTAGTTGTATGAATTTTCTAACGCGAGTGCAGTTTCGAAGCGGCAATGAGCTAGAAGACGACACAATAACCACGACGACCAAGCCCGCACGCGTGCACTTCCGAGTGATTTGGGAAATGCATGACGGTGCATGCGTGGTGAACTGCACCTCCTGTCATTGTGACCCCCGCAAGAACAAGGGAAAGTGGACGTAACGAGCACACAAACAAAGCGAAAGAGCACAGCAGGAACAGCGCCGCAACCACATGAGACCAGTGAACTATGACAGTCTAAACAAAAGACGGCTGCATGCACCAGAGGTATAAATGCTTACGCATTTGATAAACTCCTCATGGATCTCACCAAGGAAGTGAAAGCTATCTTCGAAGAGCAAGAGTGTGCATCTTCTGGCCTGGAATGAACTCGGAGATCAAAGACTACATCCACTCACATGGAGTGTTCCAGAAGCACAGCCATGCACAACCAAAGAAACCTCCAATGTTGCAACAATGGCAAAGGTATCCATGAAAAAGAATTGGCACAGACATCACAAATATCATATACAATCTACTCAATTTGTATATGGCTAAAAAGTATGGATTGGGATAAGTTATCCCTAAGAAAAGTAAAATCACCCTTTTTCTCCAACAGCTAAAGGCAGTTGCCTTTCTTTGTAGTCTTTGTGCCTAGTTTTGTATGATTTTATCTCTGCTATCCGTCATGCCTTAATGTTAAAAAAAAAAAATTAAAATTTGTGCTTAAAATGTTGTGATAGCAACGATCTTTGTACAATTTTTTGTTTTCGCTTGATTACTGTTTTTCCCGGCTCTGTTGCTGCTTTCTGTAGGTGGCTAGGGACCCGTCAAGCTGCACCCGACAGCTTTTTTCCCTGATTGCCGCCATCTTATGGTGGAAATAAACATCATTATTATATGATAAAGTACATACTTTCTGGTTTTGACTTTTGGTGGTGTGGATAGGCTCGCACCAACCACTCAGTTTGCATGATGCCAAATGTTCAGAGTTTGCTACTCACTAGTAGCTCATGCACGACAGATCAAGGTTAAGTCATGCCCAATTTAATGAAATGGTCGAGCCAGCCACAGCAAAGACCTTACTGAAGCCTCTGAAGAGCAGGGTTGTGTACCAAATTCGGCAGTAGAGAAGAAAAAAAAAGGGTCCCACATAATTTCTTCTGCACAGAGTAAGCGGCGAGCCAAGCATGGTGAATAATAATGCCAAAAAGCTTCTTTGGCATAGAAAGAAAGTCTGCAGGGTAACAGAAAGTGTGGCGTGTCACCCTCATGTCATGGTCATAGTGCAGACATAATTTTAGGTGCAAATGTTTATGTCGGTCTCATCCTTACCAAAGACTGCAATGACTTGCTCTGCACGTGCCCAAACTACGAAAAATAACACGGAACCAAAAAAATCTTTCATTAACCCCTTAAGTGCATAGTTTTTCCCAAAAGATGTTTTCACGTGGTCAGGTTTTGTTTCCAAAGGAATAACATGAAGAAAGGGCCAATGCACAGGCTTTTTTCTTAATTATTTAGCTGGGCATGTAAGTTCTTGTAGCCTTGCAAGCTACTCAGGTTCAGAAGCATCAAATGGAAATATTGAGGGAGAAAATGTTGTCACCTTTCTTTCATTCGGTTTTCATTTTGGCAAGTTCCATTACCACGATATCCTGGCGGTTTCAGATTCCGAACCAGACCTGCTTTACACAGCTTCTCTATCGGTTGGTAAGCTGCCATCCTCAGAGTTCAAATCTGGGAAACATTAAAAGCCAGAATCGGAAGAGCCGGTACTGCAGTTACCAGAAACATGTGCCGCCGACATGCGGCGACCATGCATATCACATGTGCGGAGCGGCTAATTTCAAAACTATGAGTAGCCCCAGTATAGCAAAACACCGTGTGAATATAATGTTTACTAAAAACATTTATTAAGTGCCTAGATAATTGCCGTGGAAATAAACCTCTCCCTCACCCTCCCCCCCCCTCCCTCCCCCCTCCCCCCCTCCCCCCCCCCTCCCTTCCCCCCCCCCCCCCCCCCCCCCCAAAAAGTTATGTTGCAACTCGTTTTGAATTAGAAGCATGTTACAGAATCGCAAAGTGCCTTGCAACATAGATAGTAGATAATGTTGCGCTTGAAATTTTTTTTCTATCGGGGAGATACATGTCCAATCAAGACACTTAAAAAAAATGTCCTTGGGAAGTTCAGTACCTCTTTAAGAGAGCTGAAGTGAAACTTGTATGCTTGAACCACGATGCCTTGGGGCAGTAACAGCCAGCCAGCCCTGTACCACAAGCAGCAATAAACCTGTACCAAAAGCTAAGTACTCGCCTCCTACTCCCGCCAACGCTTACCGTTGAAGCAGCTTACGATGACGACACGGTTCTTTCCGGCGAGGCGGGGTTCCGAAGGAGACGAGTTGCGGTGGCAGGAATCCGGTGGGCGCACGACAGGAATGTCTCTCCTCAGATCAATCGGCACAGTTGCACGAAACAACTGGCACACTGCGTCTCATTCGTGAGCACCACGCACCACCACTCCGCTGAAAGCAGCCCGGTGGATGCCCAGCCTGCAATCGGAAAACACCGCAACACTTTAGCAAGCTTTCAAGCAAACCCCATGTCCCAACAAACCATAAAGACACTGCGGCCAGATTGCCGGCGTTCTGCGAAAAGCGCCGAACGTCGTTCCGAAAGGCATGCTCGCCCGCTGCTCGACAGTAAACAAGAGGAGCGAGGGGTAGAAGAGAACTGCTCGAACAACACTGACACCTTAGACGAAGCCCCACCTTTTCCCACCGTAAATGCTGCCTGTAAACCTTTCCTCTAATCCCTACAAATGACATTCAACAAAGATATCAATTGCGGATGCACAGACTATAGGTGGACCCGTTGTTCCGCGAGCTTTTACCGACGCCAAAGCATCCTCCGTATTACCACTCTGGTTAGGAGAAATTAAGAGCTACAGCCACTGGCAAGGTAAGAACGGCAAGGATGCCAGGCCTCCAGCTCACACTCCCCGAGCTGGAGGTGCTTTGGCTGCGAGCACACGCTCGAGGCTTGTGAGACATCAAAGCCGCATCGAAGGTAGCGCGACAACTGAAACTTCTCCCTGGAAATCTCATCTTGTCAGAGACCATAGTATAAAACTGATTGCGGTATTTCTCCTTTCTCCAAAGAAAAGCCACAAAGAACTCCTTGTCACGGCTGTTCTGGGACTGGTGGCGGAAACCGAAGGTTTGAGTTTGGCACCCTAAAGGTCACTTTTGTAAGTTACGACTTGAGATTAAACCAGTCGGGTACGTGCAAGTGCAGACGGAGCACCAACAACCACTATGCTAGTGGTCAAGCTGACGGCCAGTTTTGGCGGGAGCCTCTGTAAATTGCGTCGTGTTTTTTCTATTTATATTTGTTCGAGACTTTGTAGCGACTTCATCCATTTCCCACGTGGACACCCTTCGCCTTTGGCTTCATTATGCCAATATTCAAATATTCCGACAACCACCAGTAAATGCGACATGGTGACCCTTTTGTTGTTTACCAGCGCTTCGCAAAATCAGAAACTTCATCACCTGGAAGAGCTCACAGCTGCACCTCGCCAAATTACTCTAGGATCCCAGCAATTTATACGACTTGAACCATCACTAAAGCTTCTTTTCATGACACAACCCTCCATGGCGTCAAAATCTTTCGTCGGCGGCATATTGATTTTGTTTCCTCATAACGCAATCACACCTGCACCAGGAAATTCTGCACGTACTGCTCAAACACCATCAGTGTAAGCTCAGCATTGTTTTAAGTTTGCACGTCGAAAACTAGGTACCTCTTTCGAAAATATGGTGGCTGCCTGCGCATGCCCGAACTGCTGGCAGCATCCTTCGCCTTTAAAAACGCGTACTCGTGGTGCAAAGTCAACCACAAGCAGGGTCCCATCCTTCCCTAGCATGATGTCGCACTATGCCTAAAGCCCCTTGATAACATCCACGCTTTAGTTTCTTCCAAGTGCCACCAACCATTCGCTTCCAAGGGCTGCTTATTTCAGCGCTGCATCGCCTTTAGCGCTGCGCCGCCTTCAGCGCTGCGTCGCCATTTGCTTGCACGAGACCCGTGCCTCGTGCACTGGCGCATTCGATGCTACATCAAGCGACTTTAGCTGTTTAACTCCTGGGCCGGTTTTCTCGAAGCGATGGTAAACCCATTTTGGTAAACCACGGTGCCTAGGAAGGGGAAAGTACCTAGGTACTGTAATAAACGGCTGGTTATAGAACAACAATAATTATTTTTGATTGGGCAGTAAGATGCGCCATCTATCGGTGAAACAAGCCAGTCATTTTGTTTATCCTTTTTTTCCGCTGGTTGTTATCGGTCTAGTATGGTATTTTAAGTCAAAATATAGTAATGTTGTACTTGAAGACCAATTTATTTGCTTCAGATGGTACGAAGAAAGTTTAGCTACTATGATAGAGTTTGTCATCGAATGTTCGAAAATGCAAGAAACATTTCCTTCAATATCTTTCGCCATAAATAACGCATAACTTTCCCGTGTGCCTTCCAGTCTGGCAACTTCGGTGCTGTATTCTCATTTTTTGTTCCTTGCGACGCACGTTCTGCGATTCCTGCTGATCTTAACTGTTTGCCTTCTCTTCCGTTTGCCCAACCGATCCACCGGTGACGAGAAGTAAGCTTCTCGTCATCGGTGGATCTTGTCACCGTTGAATTGCTGGTCACCATTCTCGTCAATGGTGACGAGAACCTAAGCTTCTCGTTACCGTTGAATTGCTGGCCACCGGGGATGTGTAGAAACCTCGATGCTGTCGACATGAAATGAATCTGTCGACGAAACATAGCTGTGTTGACGAAATTATCTGTCTATGAAAGGTCGTTCGACGAATAAATGCCGCCGCTAGCGCGAATGGGGGCAGGAGAACAACGGTGAATTGTGACATGTTAATACTCCCTCACGCATTCCATATCTATCACCGGTGAATGTACAGCCTCCAGATTTTTTTAATAATCTTACGAATGCCGTCCAGCGGGTAGATCAGCGCCTTATCGCAGCGTGAAACAGCTGAGGCCAGATTCACGAAACAATCTTATGCCAAAAATGTGCATACGATAAAACATAACAAATTCATATTCATGAAACAAAATTAACATAACTTTTGCATAGGTTACGATGGAATCCTACGACAGCTCCGGAGCTGTCTTGCGCACTTTTTACGATCAAATCAACATGGCCGACAGCATTGCTCAGTTACTTGGTCGAAACGACCAATGGACATTTATTTTTCTACATGCTCTTCTCGCACATCCCGACTTCAAGCAGCAAGAAAAAAGAAAGAAGTACTTGAAACCGACCACAATGAACATAAATGCTCAATCCACAAACCCGGGTAAAGCTACAATGGCAACGATCCCACCAACCAAGCGACCACCAAGGGCGAGCTCGGCAGAATATAGGCCTAGCAAGCACTCCAACCTGCTCCTACGATCCTCCGCCGAGACAGCCTGCCCACGACCGGCTGCTTGCTGCATGGAATATGCCCATGCGACCCTTATGGACCCTTCCCGTATTAATAGTTTGATCGCTGACCTCAATTTTAGATTAAGAGGTCGATCTCTTCCCCTTGTCATCTCCTTGTTTTCCAAGGCAGCGGTGACAAACGCTGTCATCGAAAAAGGACTCTCATCGATTCTATCTCCTTGTTTTGTGCGATATTGAGCTGAAATAAAAACCGTATGGATCAGTGTTCCGGATTTGCCACTCTGAAACTGGAATGATTCCGGAATCATTCCGCACTTTCACGACCTCAAAATGGAATGGGAATGGAATGGCGGCAGTGCTCGGGGGAATGAAATGGGAATGGAATTAGATGCCTTTTGCCCGCAATGAAGTGGGAATGGAATGGGCTCGGTTCTTATGCGCGCTGTGTCGATTTCCATGTAGGGCTTACGATTTCCATGTAGGGCTTAAAAGCACAGTTTGTTAGCGCATGGTAAGTGGCTCTTGAAACAGCATCATTGCACCGGAGGTGACTGACGTCTTCATTGTCTCACTAGCTTATACTCCTTCGAGGATGAAAATGGCACATCCTCAGTAAAGTAACCAAAACTGAATAGTTGTAGACGGACAAGGTGTCGTTCTTGGCACCGCGAGATGCAACAAAGCGGCTGTTGTGATCATGCACAATTAGAATATAGCTTTTAACAAGCGTGTCCAACCGAACTGAAAACTCTCACCAAAATCAAACATTTGATGTTGAGCCCGAATCGGAACGGAACCTTAAAGGGGCCCTGCAACAACTTTTTGACTGGTTTTTAATTTGCACCGAACCTGAGTGCACTGAATGTAGTAACTTAATTAAACTTTTCTTTTCTCGAATTTCACTTTATTTTAAAAGTTATAGGCAAATTAAAATTGCAAAAACAAGCAAAAAATAATTTCCTTCATGACGTCGTTGGTCGTGGCTGTCAACCGGAGGAGGGGTAGTTAGCTCAGCGAGCACTCAGGCTGCCGCACTCCATGTCAACTTTTGAGAGGGCGCCACTAAAGCATGTGTTGGATAGGCTGTATGAAGCGGGCGACCAGGGCAACTCGCATTGCATTTGCTGCGCAATTAAAGACTGATCCCACTACCCCTTTCTAGTATGCGCTGTCTTTTCCACCGCTTGGTGGCGGGTATGTCGACGGGTCATTTCTTTTTTCCGTACTTTATAAACTGCATTTATTTCTTTTCTGATCTAAAATACTGAACAAAAACTACTTTCATACATAATTGAAACAGTTCGCGCCCCTTATATTTTGTATTTAGACTAAAAAAAAAAGCTTTTAGCAGCTCTGACCAGTAGTAAGGCCAGGACCAAAGACCTCACTTATTGCACGCTTTCGACACCGTGCGTCACCCCCGTAGGTGGAGGACGTTTCCGCGTCGTCCAGTTAAAATATGACGCACTGATATTTAGTTACTCTCTCCGTGCCCGCTGGCGTGCCCGAAACCCAAACAAACGTGGAAACCGCAAAAAAAGTTAGACCCTTAAATATGATTGCAGGGCCCCTTTAATCTCATGTGGGGTTACCGATTCAATGGAAACGGTTCGATGTAATGAAATGTGAGCTGCGCCTTCCTGCGGATGGCGGCGCAAAGTCAATTAAATATTTGCGACAGTGGTATCAGAGGCTCAGTTTTGACTAAACAAACAGCAATGACATGAAGACAGCTGAATATTAATGCAACAAATAAGTATATTTCTCGTCTATATACAGCACCAGGGATGAGCAGTATTTCAAATACTATTTGAAATATATATTTAAGATACTTTGTGTATTTTGCATTTGTATTTAATTACAAATTGGGTAATGTATTTGATGTGTGTATTTAAATACTAAAATGTGGGTATTTCAAATACAATTGTAATTAAATACAGTTTTGTGGGCGGAAATGCATCCCTCAAATTTATTGTCACTGTCCAGAGCAGGAAGAAAACTATGTTCTGCACCGAATGCAGTGTCTCTCAATCAAGCACAAGCGTTTAGTGACTTTGTGATTACGGCGCTAGTCCAGGGCAAGAATAGTGACGAAATCGACGTTCATGGGCAGACTGGCTAAATAAGTGCCTGTGACAACTTGTGATGCTTTCCAGCCTGATTTCCATCCATATTTTTGCCTGGAATATTCTAAATGCGGGGGTCGTCCAGATTTTCGTAACTGGTGCGAGTTGCAACAATAAAACATTCTCTAGCTAGTGCTGCGCATCTTGGTCGTCTCGGTTCTTCGTTGGTCTATACCAAAATGTAATCGACAAAAAAAAGCTGCTTGAAGCTCTGCACATTTTTCACCTATTACGTCCAAGTGATTACATTTTTTTGTGATTATATTTCTATTACGTTACTATCGCAGATTAACTCCCGAGTGTGTGATGCAAAATTAAAATGAGATACACAGAAACCTGTTGCAGGTGCCCTGAAGTCGCTGACGCAAATTTTGAGGAATGTATTTCGAAAAGTATTTGGAGGAGACCAAATACATTTGGTTGTATGTATTTGCATCTTATACTTAAATTCTTTTTTGGAAATGTAATTAGAGTTGTAATTAAATACATTTTTTACAAAGTATTTTGTATTTGTATTTCGATACATATTTGCACGTATTTTGCCCATCCGTGTACAGCACGAATTGGCGTCGGCAAGTCGGCGTGGAGGTGTACACTTTGTTTTACCTTACGATGAACCGCAAAAGATGCTACGAGCCACAGGAGCCTATTCGTGGCTCTGAGGGCGCCACGTGTCCTTGCAGTTTGGCGGAGCGACACGGAGAGCGCAAAGTCACAAGACAAGCTACGAACTAGGGATTGCCCCGTGCAGCTTGTAGTGTCCATCACGGCACGTCGTAAAGTGAAACTAAGTATTACTAACTATGCCGAGAGGCTAAAAAGCTCTTGTTTGTGCACACATGTGTGTGTGTGTTCTTTTCTTTCTTCCAAGTAATATTCCTCAAGGAAGGATAAAGCAAACAAAAATGTGGAAGTGAAAACTAAAAGCTTACGGCTGTCGGCACATTTGTTCCGCAGTGGCGAAATCTGGAGGCACCAAGAAGCAAAGCCACGACGGGCACAACACTGCGACGCCGGTCACCGGAACGCCACTCGCCCAGAGCTTTTGACGCTGCTTGAAGTAATTTTGTGTGTGTGTGCGCACACAAGTTTTCTAGAAACAGCAAGACGCCCGTTGTATTTTCCTTCTTTCTTTTAATCGTCTTTCGACGGGCCTTTGCTTTCTTTCTCCTTTTCAACTATGTCGTTTGAGCAAGTCGTTCGGGCGTGCGGTGTGGGTGCAGTTTCGATCTGGATGACCATCGTACCGGCGTGTGCTTGTGCATCAGTACTGCGTGATATGCGTTGAAGACCCCACACTAGCAGTCGCACTGCAGCGGATAAATTTCTCATCTACAGATGGTAACAATGTTGCCATACTCTGGCAGACTAAACTCCTGCTGTCTTAATAATTTTCAACAAATCTGTATTTTGTGGGTAGTTTGCGAGTGTGGTGCGTGTTACCATCACGGCATCACTGTGCGTGCTGGCTGATTGACTTCACATGTGAGTACACTACTTTGGTACTGTTTTCAAGCACCTGTATAACCACGTAATCTTCATCGAGCGGTGTTTGCATTAAAATTCAAGGTCACAAAATGAAATAGGGCATAGATTTGTTTTGCAGTCCTCGCTTCCGCAGCGCAGCTTCTGATGACCTAATATTTTTTATGCCGATGACGCCGTGTTTAACTAACATTTTCTTTATAATGACTGGGAGCTGTGGACTTTCTTTTTTTAAGAACTGGTTTAAACTGGTTCGCGCTTGGTGGAACCTTTAACCGAACCGTTATTTCAAAATCATCACTAAACCAGAACTGAACCAGGACAAAATTGAACACAAATCAAACAGGAAAAATGACCTGTTCGACTCCCTGTTTTTAGCCCAGCCTAACTTCTATAGTGTTGGCGTGGAACACAAATAAAGAATTTAATTCAATATGTTAAGAAACTGCAAGAATCGTCAGCAACCGTAAACGCTTACGTTTGAAGGCAGGTTCTATAATATGCTGCTACATTCCCTTGTGCTATCACCGTATACCGATTGGGTAACCTCGCGACGCGTTCCACGAAGTTCATACCTTTAGGGCACCCCTTGCAACCGCAGCAATCGCCGGTAATCGCGGTGATGGTAAGAAGCTCGTCGTCTCGCCGGTCTCGCCCTCAGAAGAGCTGAGGAATTCATCAAGTGCAGCTGCGAGGCGCGTTCGTTTTCACGCGTCTGCTTCTCCCGCCATCTCCTCGATTCCCGCTCTTGGCCGCTATGCCTGATGGGACTGCACCCGGCACTCGGGGCCTCTTTCAAAACGCGTTCATGAATGCCGATTTCTCCTCTTACGAACTTCTTAGCTAAGTGATCGTAGCCTAAGAAGCTCTTCGTGAATAGGTCAGCGAGACTATGCACGTGTTGCAGAAAGCACATGCCTAGCCTCGCTGACTTGCTGTTTCACGACGCGATAAGTCGCTGATCTACCGGTCGGTTGGCGACGCGTTCGCCTCGCTGACTTGCTGCTTCACGACGCGATAAGACGCTGATCTACCGGTCGGTTGGCGTTCGCACGATATTGGTGAAAAATCTGGAGGCTGTACATAGCTGAGTGAACCCATCTATCGCAAAACAGTCCTATCAGGGGCACGCAACGGGAAGGCACTGCTCTCTTGTCGGCGGCGTCTATCCCACCCGACTTGAAGAAAGGGTGAAAGTGCGAACGTCTAGTTTTCGCGAGTACTAATAATAATACTCATTTACATGAGAAGGTTACCCTGAAGGTTACCGTGCACCTTCCCTCAGGAAAGTATAGTTGTTATTAGGGAATTGTAGTAGACCGTTCCCGTAGCCCGCTAAGCACCCGGATAGCGCTCCGTAATCCGCCCCGAGACCTTGAACTATGCAGAGAAGGCTGGCGGCGCGCATGCGCAGCTGCGGCGTTTCCTTCGGGGATACCGTAGCGGAGGAGAAAAACGATCCACTACAACTCCCTATTATCAGAGTGCGACCGCAAACAGGAGCTTCTCCGCATCCTCGTCCTTGGCGTTGGATGTTCAAACGCAGTAGAGAATGTGGAAGTTTTTTAGTTTTTTTTTTTTTTTCCTCCCCAGAGTGTGTGTAATCAGAGGATAAAGCGCGAAACACATGTACGACGAAACCGTCCGATCCGACGTGCGGACTGCCGAATGACCTTGGGGGGCGAGGGCTTTCGCAGCACCGGAGAGCGTTGAAAGCCTTCGCCTCCGACCGTCGTATCGCCTGATCGGATGTCGGATCGGACGGTTTCGTCGTACGTGTTTTATATGCAACCGAGTAAGACCGAGAGAGACCAGACCGGTTTTTAAGCCTCTTGCGAGATCTTAGGACCGAATGCGCTCTCTCTCGGTCTTACTCGGTTGAATATGTGTGAACGGCGCTTTACACTTGTAAAGCAGTTAAGGCATCGAAGATTTCATATATATGATCAGTAAACAACCCCACCACATCTCCCTCCCCAAGATCCCAAAATAATCCCTGGAGCAGGGGAACAAGAGGGACAAAGGACAAACACAAATCTTTTTTGAGGACCGAGTTCTCGCCGTTGAAA